TACACCTAGGATTTTCGCTACAACAAAATTCGATCATTCGATATGTTTAGGTCTCAAAAAACCCATTTTTCTGTTTTGATTCGTCGTGAATTCTCAAACTTTTAATTTTCATCAAAAAAAATGTAGTAAATAAACATTGCTATTAATTTTGTTTTTCTTTTTTTTTTTCCATTTATAATTAATCCTAAATTTATTATTTAAACCAATTTATGTAACTATTTTTACAAAAAAAGAATAAGCAAAAGGAAAAAAATTAATTAGACAGATAAGACTTAAGAGTGTCATATTATAATATTATTCTCTGGCCAACTGTAGTCCAAGTGTCAACTACTATATATATATATATATGTAACTCATGCAACCATATATTATACAACTGCTAAATTAAATTAAATTAAATTAAATAATAAAAATAAAAAAATGTCCGGCATTCTTTGGAAAAGCTTCAACCTCTGCTTCTCCAATTTCAAGTGTTTTCCAACCATCACTCTCTCCGCGCCACCCATCGCCGCCGTCAGCGGCGAACATGATCAAGACGATAAATTCCCCACCACCGCCACCGGCGGCGCCGCCGCCGACAATCCCTCACATCTCTTCAAGAATTTCAACTCTCTGTACGACGTAAACGACTCCGACATTTCAACCTCCAAATCTCTCACCTTCTCCACCACCACCACCGCCGCCAACGCCGCCGCGAGCGAGGACTTCTTCTCCTCCGACGACGACTCCGACGGTGAGTCCGCCGTGCCGGATTTCACCTCCGCCTTCGCCTCCCACCGCTTCTTCTTCTCATCCCCTGGGATGTCGAACTCCATCTTCGAGGCGCCGCCTCCGCCGCCGCCGCCGCCATCGCAGGATCCCGACGCGGTGGTGAGCGGCGGAGTGGCGGTTCAGACGTACTCGCCGGACCCCTACTCCGACTTCAGAAAATCCATGGTGGAAATGATCGAGGCGCGTGATCCAACAGACGCTAAGGCGGATTGGGAATTCTTGAACGAGCTGCTCTTGTGCTATCTAACCTTAAACCCTAAGCACACACACAAGTTCATAGTCGGCGCTTTCGCTGACGTCATTGTATCTCTGGCGCCGCCGCCGCCGCCGCCGTGCCGGAAAACCCACCACCACCAACGGCCACATTTGTCTATTTAATTAACCTCTTTTTTCATTTATTTTTTTAAGGTTATTATTATTATTATTATATTATACTAACTGAAGAAGAAAATTAAATAAAAAAAAATATATTTAATAGTGCAACTTGAGTTAAATAATAATATCTCGTTACGGTATATTCCTAAGTTTTTGTGTCGTGTAAAGTGCTTTTGTCTTGCATAAGAAAGTTTTTTTTCTCGTTTCGCGAAACGCGTTTACGGACGAACAATTTTGTATAACTTCGATAAGTTAATAATCGAGAACTTCATTTCATTAACAATTTCTTTACCGTCTTGACTCTATGAAAATGTGTTAAATTAGTAGTTCGATAAATTTAATATTTTTACTAAATTAGTAAAACATTGTTGATTCCGACTGAACTAATTTATATAGATTCAACTGTATATATACGAATACTTTTGTTGTATTATTGCAAAAATGATGACATTTACTTCATAATGAGTCCCGTTTTATAATTTATTTCATCTCAATCATTCTTCTTTAATCTCTAATTAAGCTAAAAACGTGGACAATCTATACGTATACTCGAAACAATTTTCTCGTTTTTTAAGCCGGTGTTTGGCCAAGTTTATAAGTTGTTCAAAAGAGTTTATAAGCTATTCCAAAGTATTCGGTAATTTAAAAAGATACAAATAAGCTAATGGGGAGCACAAATAATATTTTTTTTTAAAGTACATTTACCCGCTTATTTTTTAATATTATAACGAGTAAAAATAGTTTATAAGTTCATTATCCCAACAATTTAAAATTTAATTCTAAAAATACGATATAACAACGTATCAACTCTTAAAACAGTTTATCAAAATTTTGGATTTACTATTAATGCTATTATGTATTATATTCATTATAATTCTTTTTTCTTTTTAATTCATTATCATTATTATTCTTAATTATTGTACATGTATTTTAAAAGGAAATGGAAGGGATTATTTTTCTATAAAATAATTTACCAATCAATTTTGTATTAGGAAAAGTGTTTTGGTGCTTTTGATGACACACAAAATCCAAAAAATATTGTCTCATAAAAGAGCATTGAAATGCAGGAGTCCAGGCAAAGCCTAATCGGTCAATAGCCTTTTCTACTTGTTTATTTGCAATCTCTTTTTTCCATATCAATTATTTATTTATTTTTAATTTATTATTATTATTATTTTTATTTATGCTTCACCAATATATTATACATATTATTCTATATGTAACTTGTATTAGTAATAGCATATTATAATTGATACCATGGGCGGAGCCAATTTTAGATTAAGGGTGCGATCCAATTTATTTACACTATAATATAGTAACATATTTATTTATTTACTTCAATTAATCTACATCATTTAGCCCAACCAATCATAAAGAAAATTATAAATTGTTTGTAAGTATTCAATCTGTATACTACTTTTTTTTTTGTCAACCCAAAGTTAGAGAAATTTTAATTATAGTATTTGATATAAGTTAAGATTGTAAAAATAGAATTAATTAATCAACTACCATCTTGTGACTTTATTGATAGGTCACTTAAAGACAAATAAAAAGAATCCAAAGAAAGCAATCCAACCATATACTAATACATAATATTCTAACTTTAAACTGAAATGATAAATACATGACGATTTTTCTAATTTTAACTTTAATTTTAAATCCCACTTCACACATTTACCGTATGTTTAATTTTATTACATTTAGTGTTGTCGAACACAAAAAAATGGTGGAATAATTCGATTTAGGAAAGCTTCACAAATCTAGAAAAACAAGCGTCTGCGGTAGACAGTAGTATGAGTTCAGCAGAAAAATTCGATAAACTCGTGTTTTGACGATTAGTATTGCAATATTATGGCAAAATAAATGTTTGAAAGAAAAAGATGGGATTGATGCTAAGTTTTAATTTATTAAATAAAATGTTCTACGTTTACTGTTTACTGAAACACGTCGTGTATTTATCAAGTCCCTTAGTTAAATTAACAATATATTTTTTGTCTGATAATTATGCTTAATTATGGTTGGTTAATTAGACAGTGACAATAAAAACCTAATTCCCATAACAATCTTCATTACCAAACTCCAAGCCGGCATTTACCTTTTTCTGTTAGGTGTTATAGGATTTGTAATTTTGTATGCTATAAAGGCAACATTTTAATTTAATTTAATTTACTAATAATATTTTTAATTTTGGACAAATTTTTGGGAGAGTGGGCTTCTAGTACAGACAAACTTGACTGCTATATTGTGTTTTGCTTAACTTCAGATTTTTTTTTTAATTATTATTAAATGAATATGTAATAATAATTAATAACGAGTTGGAACAAGAAGATGAATGCATGTGTGCTTAATTTTGTTAATTTAATCACTGGAGACAAATCAAGATTATGGAGAGGACAAACATAATATATATATATATATATATATATATATATATATATATATATTTGAGTAGTTACATGTAATTAATTAATCATGAGTGCACAAACAAGACCACATCCTTAAATAAATGACTAGTTTTGAAGAATAATTTTTGGAATTATTGACAAATATTTGGCAATGTTGAACACAATAATTGTCACTATGGAGAAATATTTTTATTTTATATTACACGTCACTTTAGAATTTTAATAATACATTAAATATAATTTGTTTTTCCTGTTTTATCCATATTTATTTAGCTCTAATATTAATTATCTCCATCGCATCTTTAAATGATCAAGGTTATATTATTGGGATAATTAATTTGTTTTTTTCGAAATGATATTCGAAATCTTAAACGATACTTTGAAATCTGAATACGTGTGCTGAAATCCTAAACGATACTTAATTTGAAAACGAGATAGTAGAAAGGAATAATCGAAAGATGAGGACCCAAAATTATGAACACATATCTAAATCGAAAACGACTTGTGATTTTGGTGTTTGGCTTTTTTCACCAACTAAAAAAGTTGCACCTGAATTAATCAATCTCGATTATGGGCTAATAAATATTCAATAATTATAAAACCTATCTTTAATTTTATTACATTCCTAAGTCTATGTTTCCAATTCAGCACCTCACCTACTACCACATGCATGAATAATTGAATATTAAGTGGAACTAAATTGCTGCACCGAAAAGCACTACATCTAATGTCAACAATCAACAACATAATACTAAGTTCAAAAAAAAAATTAAGTAAAATAAATTTAATATATTTTTTTTTAAATCGAGTTAGCAGACACTATATGTAACGCCCCGGGTTTTGTTAATCCAGTCTGTTAGCCAACCTACTGGCCCACTAAACACTGAAGCAACAACGGGTCTACTACAAGCCCACACTAAAAGTCCGTGAAAGGTATCAGTGTCCAATAATAGTAATAAAGAATGTTCGAGGTGGCTAACCGTCGTTCCGAGTCGACTCTGATACCATTTGTAACATCCGACCTTTTGTTAACTCGATCTGTCCGTCAACCAACTGGCCCTATTAGGCACCGGTGCAACAACGGGTCTACCACAAGCTCACAGAGAATCCTACATTTTTCCTATGTGGAATAGGTTATTACATTATGTGTTTGTGAGAAGACAAACAAAATAGTACAACAGTGGGATTGAAGTGTAATAATTAGAAGAAGACATGACTATAACTATAACTGAAAATGATGCAATGTTTGCTAACTTCCAATAACTCAAAGATTGTCTACATTCTGACAATATTTTAATTTATTTATATATATATGTCATTTCAATCAAATCACAAATTTAAAAGCACTTTGATGCAAAACAGTTACCTTTTGTCACTGCCCCCCAAACATTTTCTCTATCACTGTTTACAACAATTTATTTCATTGTTTTTTTCTTAATTTGTTGTCGACACCATTTATTTGAACTAAACAATATAAAATAACAATTATCAAATTTCAAATATTAATTCATGTGACACTATAGTACTTCCCATGTGGGATCTTACAATATTGAATTGTCCATTGGTTATAAACCAATGAGTAAATCTTTCTTAGCCACGTTGCCCTTTTCACCCCTAGGATATATAATTGACATTTTCCAACTATAGAGTGATTTTCACTTTCGGATGATCGATAGGAGTGTAAATGAAGCGAATCTGGTCAAACGTATTATTGTTTATACATTGTCCGAATTTATTGTTGACTCCATATTCGTTTGATTATTCAATGAATCGATTTTGAACAAGTTTCAATTGAGTTCAGTTCAAGCTCAATTTGAATTTGAATTTGAATTTTACGTCATAACGGAATTCAATTCGATATGGTGATTATAAAGCGAGTTCAAATGAATTTCCACTATCGATTAGGGTTGTTAAAGGAACGTGCAGAAGTCCATGTTTGTTCGACTTTGTTTGAATTTTCACCGATCTTTAAAATTTATATTTGAGCTCAATTTAATCAGCAATCGGTCTAGTTCGAACAAGTTTCAATCCACCAAGCTCCATCAACTCAATTTCTTACCCATATTTCACAATTTTTTTTTACTTATAACCAAGTCGAACTCCATAACTTATCGAGCAAAAAATATGTTTATGTTCGGTGCATTATGTTAATAAACCAAGTTCAACGAGCTTCTAAAAATCGAGTATGAAATAGTTTTTTTTTTTGGGTAAATTACAACCATCCCCTGAGGTATGGTCAATTTACAAAAAACCCCCTCTTGTTTGGATAATTACATCTACCGCCCTCAACTGTGATTTTTTCTTACACCTCCACCCTTATGGTGTCAAATTCAACATAATCATCTAGATTTCATGGAATGTGCTCTAGTTTGTACTCGTTCTGTGTAATAATATAGTTTCTGATGCACCACAATCTGATATACAAGCCAAAAAACACATATTATGATCATCTTGCTTCAAAATGTGGAGTTCGAATGGAACAAAACGGGTACAAAAGTGATAATATTTCATATAATCTTGAAGATTCCACTAAATTTGAAACCGCAAAGGTGGACGGACGTGTAAGAAAATTTATAGTTGAGGGGTGGTTGTAATTACCCAAACAAGTGTGTGATTTTTGTAATTTGATCATACCTCAGGGGTGGTTGTAATTTACCCCTTTTTTATAAATTTTATTATTATTATTTTGAGAAGAGTTGGGCCTATTTTACAGCCCATATTCACAAACATTGAATTTGTGGCACCATAATCCAAAACCACAAAAAAAATCTCAAAATATATTCTTATTTTCATTAAAGTTTATTAAAATTTATTTATTACATTTTCCTCTAATTTATTTTTGCTCCCAAAATTCCAATGGCAGTTTCACTCTCAAATCTCCCATTCTTCACCCCCTCCAAAACCACATCTCCAAACTCAATTTTCTCCACCACACCAAAACTCGGAGCACCACCCACCAAACAATCCCCAAATTTTACAATATTTGCATCCAGGCCCCGCAACTTCGCCACAATCCCAAAAGCCACCCAAGAAGAAGAAAATGAAAACACCACCACCACCGCCGGCGAGAACGCCGCCGGCCCACCTGAGGAAATCCAGCCGGAGAAATCACAGACGGAATTGGGAAACGAAATCAAGGCGGCGATGAAGGAGAGGCAGCAGCAGAAGGAAGATGCGGGTTTCTTGAGCGGGGTCGCGGAGGAAATAAAGGAAATTGAGTGGCCTGCTTTTAATAAAGTTTTGGGGATTACTGGGGTTGTATTGGGTGTGATCGCAGGTTCGAGTGTCGTTTTGCTCACTGTCAATGCCGTTTTGGCCGAGATTTCGGACCGGGTTTTTGTTGGGAAAGGTGTTCAGGATTTCTTTGGTTGAGGATGAAGAAGATAAGGAACTTCGGATCTGGTGTGGTAGGGTGCACTGTTGCTCCGTGCTCCTGCATTTGATAAATGAGGAATATTATTATATTATATATGAAAGTTTTTATTTTAATTTATGCCCTCTTATTCTTATTATTATTATTATTACCTTCTGACCTTTTTTTTTTTTTTTTTCAATTTCCTTTTTTCCTCATTTTAATTGGTCTATAATTTTTTGGTTATGAGTTGAAGTTACTACTGTGGTCAGAGTGGAATGAGCGTACACGAATTGAATCGAGTATCGAGTTGAACGAGCGAATTTATCGAGCTTTAAATTTGTGTTTTATTATGATTGTATAAGCGATAGAGTCGAGTGGGTTCGAATTAACTTTAATCGAGCCAAATAATGAGTCGAGCTTAAGTAGTTTATTTTTGCATACATTTTTTAATCGAGCTCGAGCTAAATTTCGTCTCTATTCAAATGAAAATGAGTTATTGGTTTGTTATTTGATTGATTAACTAAAGTTATTCAATAGTAATTAGGAAAATAACATTACTCTGGAAAAATAAAATTAAAACTAAAAATAAAATAACATTATTCAAATTTATTTCAACGAAATTCAAAACACGGAAGGATAATTAACAAAAGCAAGTAAACAATGCGCAAACGACAATAAAATAACATGACAGAAACTGATAAATTCTTGAAAATCCGAATCTTGCAAATTTATCGTCACGTTATCTCCATCCCGTTGTTCGAAAGCTGCATGCACTGATTCAAGTCTCGAAAGTCATGTTCTCAGCCTCTTTTCTGACCGATTCAAACAGTATAGAAGAGAGATATCGCTCTCCAAAACTCGGGAAAATAACCTGCATTACAAAAATTTATTATATTTACATTTTATCAACCAAATGATTTTCTTCGTTTTTTTTTCTCGAATAGATAGATAAAGAAAAACTTACAACAATGAGTTTTCCAGCATTTTCAGGCCGTTTCGCAATCCTAATTGCAGCAGCAGCAGCTGCACCAGATGATATTCCCACCTATAATATCATATTATTACAACCTTAAAATCCTTAAAAAATATTTTCTGTCTATGGAATAAAATCAAAAGTAAACTGCTTACCAACAACCCTTCTTTCAACGCAAGAAGCTTCGCGGTCTCAATGGCCTCGTCACTTGACACCTGAAAATATAATAGATTGTCAAGATTCGGTTGAAGTCAAATTCAATAATCCAAAAGATCGAATTTTCATTTTTTTTTCTTTTTTATTTCTTTATTCTTTTAGGAACATGAAGAAAATAAACAAGTCTTACTTGAATAACTTCATCGATAAGGTTGACTTCCAAAACACCGGGGATGAAACCGGCACCAATTCCTTGAATCTTATGTGGGCCTTGAATATTATATAAAGATCATTAATCAAATTCTTTACCTTAAATCCAAAATCAATATAAATAATAAACAATTAAAATTAATATGCAACAAAATCAGCAAAACTCACCAGGCTTTCCTCCAGAAAGAATTGGACTTTCAACCGGCTCAATACCATACAGCTAAAAAAACAGAAAATTACGAAAATCAAAATAATAAAAAATCATATTACGGACCAATAAATTCATGGATATTTTGCTAAATTAAAAATAAAAAATAAAAAAAATCAACCTTTATGTCAGGGTTCTTTTCTCTAAGATATTTTCCGGCACCAGTAATAGTACCTCCCGTACCAATACCCGAAACAAACGCATCGATTTTGCCATTCGTCCCTTTCCACAGCTCAGGTCCAGTAGTTTCATAGTGTATCTAAAACAAATTACGCACTATTTTAATTGATTATTACCAATAAATAATCAATATAAATATAAATAATCAGTTACCTTGGGATTGGCGGGGTTTTCGAACTGCTGAAGGATGTAAGAATTGGGAGTCTTGTCGCGTATTTCCTCAGCCTTTGAAACGGCACCTTTCATTCCCTTAGCGGGGTCCGTTAGGACCAGCTCAGCACCAAAGGCACGGAGAATAATTCTCCGTTCGAGACTCATTGAAGCTGGCATTGTGATTATTAGCTTGTACCCTTTTGCTGCTGCCATGAATGCTAACCCTATACCGGTGTTGCCACTTGTCGGCTCGATGAGGACACTCTTCGGACAAAAAAATTGTGGTGTCAGAAAAAGTATTTACGATTTAACAATTACTATCCACTATGGCATCGTTTGGTTGGGGTTGAAATCGGACGGGTCCTATCGGAATTAGCAGTTTCGGAAAATTTTCAATTTTTTCGGAAGTTGAAAACTAATTCCAATTTTCTTTAAAAAATGGGAAATATCGTAAATTGGAATTTCGGAAAATGGAATGAAAAAACTTTGTTCCAAAATCGGCGGAATTCGGATATTCCATTTTTTTTAGTCACCTATGATACAAAATACATAATATTACTGATATTATAAATTTATAAGTGTAATTTTTGGATTTTTTTTTAAATATTTTTGGAAATTAAAACCGGACCAGATATCAGAATCGGCGGGAAAGTACTGTTTCAAAGTACTGTTTCAAAGTCGGAAAAATTCGGATCGAATCGGCGGAATTCGGAATTTCCGCTCAGATCTCCACCCCAAGGACCAAGCAAACATCCAACAAGGCACAATAATTTAATTAATCATGGCTAATCCTCCCAACCAAACGAGGCCTACAGAAACTAAATTTGCATCACCATTTTTTACTTAGGAACCAAAAATGCTTGAGATTTCATAATTCTTCGATTTTATTTTTCTTTGCATATTCATTTTACTCATTTCAAGATCCACGATCCAAACAGACCCTGAGAAAAAACTAAAATTTGTACTTGGCCAAAAATTAAGATTACAACAACCCAAGTTTCGGTTGAAATTGTACATATCAATTTACCTGTCCAGGTGTGATGAGCCCTTCCGCTTCAGCATCCGTAATCATACTATAACCGATCCTGCCAAAAACAAAACGAAAAAAACCGAAATACTATCAAGAACTAATATCAACTAAGAACAAGTACGAAAAACAATACTATATAAATATTGACCATTTTTTTTCTGAAATAACCGAAATATACCTATCTTTGACGCTCGAGCATGGCTCCATCGATTCCAGCTTGGCGGCAACACGAGCAACACAACCATCAACAATGTTGTTCAAGTACACCAATGGTGTATTACCAATCAACTACACAACATAAATATGCAATTTTTTTAACCCTCAATAAACATAAAATGTTGATAAATATACAAAGATATATACATACACACATACACACACACACACACACACACTTACTTCAGTAACATCCTTAGCTATTCCAGTATTATCCAGAGCCATGTTTGTGTATTAAACCTGCAATAAAATCGTAATCAAAATCAAATTAAAACCTATGATTTTTCACCCACTGAATTTCAGGGAAAATAAAAAAGAAGCAAAAATTCCATAAACACAATTTTTTACAGATCTAATAACTCGATCAAATTCCATTCAATTTCGAGCAAAACAAAAATTGTAAAACAAATCTAATTGCCCTATTTTTACAGTTTTCAGCGAAATTCAGCTCAAATCCGGTGACGTAGATCAGATTCGAACAGCTACGAAGATATATATATATATATATATATATATATATATATATATATATATATAATAAATAAACGGAACGATGCGAATTAATTCAATTAAAAGAGTGTAATTAAAGCATAATCACCTTAAATTTTTTCGGTGGGGCTTTTCTCTGAGTTGCTTTGAAATAAGTAAGAAGAAATGATTTTCGTATGATTTTGATGCGTCGACTGTCAGTCTTTTATACAATTAATTACGCCCGATAAATTAATTTTATATTTTCAAGTGAAGATAACGCTTTTATTTATTTATTTATTTATTTATTTTTATATTTTCATATTTTATATTTTTTCAAACGAATGTTGCCTGAAACTTGTCCCAGGTACAAAATTGGATAATCAACAATGATTGTGCCGTGGTCAAACACATATCGTGTGTATAAAAATTCAATCTTTTTTTAATAAGAAGAGAAAAAAAATTGAATTTCCTCTTTTTTTTTATAAACCAATTTGATAATTTAATAATAATTTGATGGGCATTTTGAAAGTTTCTCTCCTTTGAAAAAAGATTCCAAATCCAAATGACAAACATTCAAGGTCAATAGAGGTTGCAAAAAGAATTCTTTTAGTAATTATTAAATGGAAGCTAAAACATAATATTATAAATAAGATAATGTATTATATTAGCAATTACTTGTGTCGGCTTTCGTTTTATGGACGGTGGGATTAGACGGATTAAACAAGCATACGGGTTTGACGTAAAGAATAACCAGTTACAGCAAAAGATGTACGCTTGTATACAGGATTGGCATTTCGATATCATCGGATTATGTGTGGTTTTGTTGATTAGATGGAATTAAGTGCGAAAAGTCTAAAGTGCCCTCTTATTAAATTACTTGTGAACTTTAAAAGAAATCAAAGGCTAATGAAAGAGGTTTTTTGTATCATTTTTGTTTTAATATTTTCTATATTTTGAAATGAGTTTGTAAATTTATCTGGAGGATAAATATAGCAAGTTGACAAAAGTTTAGATTTTAAAAATTGTTTATTGTTGAACCAAAACAAAGGTCAGTTTTACTATTGTAAATTTGAATAGTGGAACTTTTGAGGGCCAAGTAGTAAATTCACCCATGTCCAGCAAACCAAAATAGGCCGTAAATGATTGGATAATATCTAGGAACAATTGATGTATTCTATTAGCAAATGCTTAAAAAAAACATATGGACCACAACTTTTATTAGTTCTTGTTCCTACCTAGTACTTACTCCGGTATTATTATAGGATAAATTACGTTCACCCCTGATGTAAGGTTAAATTACGAAAAAAATCCCTTATAATTTGGGTAATTACAATGTCCCCCTCAACATGAATCATCTTACACGTCAATCTTTACGGTGTCAAATTTAGTGAAATCTTCGCCAGTTTGTACTCGTTTTACCTCATTCAAGCTCCACGTTTTGAAACAAAATGATCATAAGATGTGTCTCTTAACTTATAAATATTAGACTGTTGTGCATCAGAAACTGCATTTTTGCACAACATGAATACAAACTAAAGAACATTTCACATAATCTAGAAGATTATAGTGAATTTGACACCATAAAAATGGATGTATAAGAAGATTCATAATTGAAGCGATTGTAATTATCCAAACATAAGAGTTTTTTTTATAATTTAACATTACCGCAGGCAGGGGCCGTAATTTACCCAAAATTACACACACCCTTTCGTCGTCCCAAAGGGTGCTTAGGAACTCCTTTTGTTTCTATGGGAGATTTAGACAAAACAATTGTAAAAATATACAAAATGACAAATAATAAAAACACACACACACACACAACACAAGCATTATCTTACACCAACTCTAAACGCAATCCCAAGTCAATGGTCTAAATTTGTCTGCCGTGCCGTGCCACAAGCAACAATGTCTACCAACGTAAGATAATGTAACAATTATTTATGTAGCGGCATATACGCTTTATCTCTTTTGCAATTTTTACAAGTAATATTATTGTTTGAGTATTATACATCACTGATTAGACGCTATCTCTTTTGCAATTTTTACAAGTAATATTGTTTTTTGAGTATTATACATCACTGATTAGACGCCGCTACGATAATTTAAAGGTTATTTGAATATCAATTGCTTGACTTCTATGCTACCGTGTTTATTGTTAAATCAGTTATTGTATTTTCTGAAATAATTATACCATATGTTTTATATGATTTCATTTAATTTTCATATTACGTTTTGCTTTTGCATTTTCTTCTTTGTAATATTTAATTGTATGTCATATGTTATCACTTTGCGTTAAAAATAAAGTTTATCTTTCTTTGAATTCCTTTTATTTTGTGTTGCTTGAATTAAATTTGTTACAAAGAGATAATCACTATATATTTTCTCATCTTAAGCTTAAAAAAAAACATTCCACAAGTAAATATATAGTTTCATTAAAGGAAAAAAAAAAGAAACTCAGGATGAATCGAAGGTGATGATACAATTCAAAATAATCCCACTCGATTCATCCAAAAAAATTCACATATAAATCGGTATTATATGAAGAAAAAAAACAGTTTATTTCGATTGCAAGATATCCCTTACGCTAACAATGGAGACCTTCTTCTTGATCTCGAACGTGACCTTGTCCAGGTCAGCAACGGTGGCTAGATGCCCGTAGAATATTCTCTTTTTGTCACCAGTTCTGGGGTCAACTTTCACAAGGTTCGGATTGGTCTCGTCATCCTTACCGAGTGTCGAGGGCTGCACGCGGGCCCACTCCCTGCGCCCGCGGTTCTCCCTCTCGAAATAACGGGCCAGGCCTAAAGCCTCCTTCAAGCCCGTTTCGTTGCCTGAGAATCTCACTATGTGAGTGCCCAAATGGCCTTCTCTCGAATACAACGACATTGACTTGCCGTTAGCACATCCAATATCTAAACGATAAGATTTCACAAAGAGACTTAGAATCAAGAAACTAAATTCGTCGTAATTTAATCGAACATTTATCTACCAAAACATAAGTATTAAATGGATATTAGTGCAAAGAGACTTAGAATCAAGAAACTAAATTCATTGTAATTTAATCGAACATTTATCTACCAAAACACAAGTATTAAATGGATATATTAGTGCCGATGAAGAGATGATTGCTCGTCAAAATAGACTCCCGTTCGACTAATTCCCGACACAGGACAGTATGAAATCCATTTGACCAATTTGAGAGGCCCAATTTATTTAATACACAAAATAAGAACAATAAACAGTTAATCAAGAAGACGATTTGCATTCAGTCTTTTCAGTTCAAGAGAGAAAGCAATTTTCTCACTTCGTGGAACTCGACTCTATAATCTCGAAAGCACAAATAAGCAAAACGCATTTTATCTCGATCCTGACTTTACATAAAACATGGACAACCAACATCTTCGATTGAAGAGGACATTGATTCGATCAAAAGAGAGAGAGAGAGAGAGAGAGAGATCTTATAGAACTAGGAGTTTCTAATATTAATGTCAAACAAAACTTAAATTTATATAAAAAATAATTAAAAATGAAAATAAAAAAATAAAAAATCGGGGGGGTTTGTGTGATACCTCTAAGAACACTATCCATAGCTCTGTTTCCTATACCTTCCATACGACCGTCTCTACCTTTTGCAGTGATTGTGTTATGAATTAAAACGGAAGGCGGCCACATAACCAGATCATCCAAATTCGATTCTGCTTCTTTAGCAGATATTTTCTGGTAGGCTTTCGAGTTATCGGGCGGCATCGAATAATTCCAGCCAATCAGAACGCACAGAGCCTTGTGAAAGCCTAAGTGATCGACTATTGATTCCGCAGCAGCATTGTCTGAGTTGTACGCGTGCAAGATTAGACTGTGTGTGTCGGGAAATTCTTTCGACGACCTGTATGTATATTTTTTCTCATGTCAAAAAACCGTGCACTAGTCACAGACACAAGAGACGAGTTTTCACGATAATAGCTGTGCATTAGATTGTCGTATATTGGATTAGATAATCTGTAAAATCCCGTTAAGCAACAAATTGGATTGTCGTATGTTGCAATATGCTGAGGGTTCAAACCATTTGTTATAACTTTAGCACTCGTTTCTAATGCTATCGAAATCAAGAACTGTTAGACAATCCTTCAAATTTATCGAACACACTTTACTGTCTATATAAAGATATCGATATAACGAAATTATTCGGAGGGATTAAATAAGTGGAGTAAGTCGAATAAGGCTAACAGTAAGTAATCGATATTGTCCAATCCCGACTTAAGATTCATTGCTATTCAGATAGGCAGCAATCGAACCTCTACATTAACAACATAGTCAAGTCAAACTGACTTCCGTATATATAGGGTACAAAATCTACAGTCGGAGATTTGCATTCTAAACTAGAAGTAACACAAAACTTACTGATTGCACGAATCACAAGAAACACAAAGTGCGCGACGGAAAAATCTGAATGCAAAACCGAAAAAGTAGGATCTCGATTATTGCTAAATATACTTGCCATCAAGAATTACCATAAGCCCACATGCGTGGAACCTTCTACGATGAATCGTGTGATGTATGATTCCTATATAATCGACTTTGGGGCAAAATCACAAATCAAATATTATCCGCAACGAACAAAAACAATTCAAGAAGCAAGTGAAAACAAAAACGAAGTCTACAAAAGAAAGATAACTAGATGAGTGAGCCGTAGCCCCGCCATCTTTTATACTTAATTATCTAATTTCTTGCTAAATCTAATTGAGTAACGGGTTTTCGGGTAGTGTTTTTACAACCCGAAAACCAACCCGATAATTACTAGTCGGGGTAACTAAAATCCAATTGGGTCGGAAAAGAACCCGTATTACCTGAATCCAATTTGTCCACCCCTAAGCAGAAGAACCACACTCAAATCCCAAATTCCGGCACAAACGGATGGACTTCTTACAAACCCATTGTTACGGGTTATCCATGTCTAGTACCCTTGCTAAAAACACGAGGCACTCTCACGAAACTTAAGAAATAAGCTACAGCACATAAAAAAAATGGCATTCTTGAAAAGGTACTACTTCGAAGTACGATATGCCAAAATGAATGGTATCATCACAAAATACAGAGTGATTTCAGACAACTGATAGGAGTGTCGTACACTGTCAGCATCATTTCATTCGTTAACCTATAAACCGCAATGTATGTCACATCAGGGGCAACTAACCACAGCTACTGATCCCGAAAATTAAAAATAATAATTAAGTAAATAAATAACAAAAAAACTACCGACACCGAAATTGAGGAGTTGCACATCAAATTAAGGATTGCATCACTATATCAGTTGGGATATACACCTTCAGAACTAACTAATCGTATCACTAGTATCAGTTAGCCCTACACAAAATTAGAAAGCACCAAAATCACGCATTGAGAAAATGTATACGATACGACGTTTCCAGCAAATTGTGTATCTTCGGTCCCAAACGAGCTTATCCAAGTAAATTACGTAAATCGTAATATAACGTATATACGCAACCTATAGTATAACTTCGGCTTCACCTCATCATTGCTACTAAAACCACAGATGTAAGCAAATACACAACTCACACAACAATATCTACATAGACGATACGTACTATAGCAAACAAACAACAAAAACCAAAGAAAACATCTTTTTTTTTTTTATTTGTGATCTTATTCTCAAAGCATCAAACTAACCTGCTGCAGGCTAAACACGACAGCGGCCCTTGTTTTCCGTCCGCCAAATAGTTCTTCCTATGGCTCGAAGTCTCGAAAACCAACTTCAAGAAATGCAAAAACGCCTTGTTTATCGCGTTTTGATCGAGCTCACTATGCTTAATCTTCTTGCCATTTCCCTCAATGAACCTCATATTCTTAGGGGCTCTCATTTCATCGCCTCTACCCAAACTATACCCACTACTCGGGCCGGGCCCGTTTGCATTTCCGTATTGTAAGAGCTGTTGCCTTTGTCTCTCGAATCCATCTTCCCTCAATCCCCTTTCGTCTTCGCCGAACTTTCGCTTTAACGAGCTCTCGGCGCCTGCATTCCAATTATCCGGGTTACGGGTCCTGGATTCTTGACCCGGAAATCCGGGGCTCATTGGGAATGGGGGCCTCTCGAGTGTGAATTCATGCGGGCCGCGGAATTCGGGCCGCAAACCGGGGAGTGGCATGTGGGTAAAATTATCGTAATCTGGGGGCAGGGCGAAGTACGACCTGACGGAGCCATCTGCGAGGACTATGCTCCGGCGGTCGAGCATGTGGAAGCCGTAAGATGGGGGCGGAGGCGGATCGGTGAAAGGGAAAACGGGCCTCGGCCCGGAAATGGAGTTGGGGTTTTCGGGCCTCGGAGATGGGTTTTCCGGCCTGGGCTTGGGCTTTTGTGCCGGAGCTTTGTTGTTTGGATCTTTGTTGTGTGGTGGTGGATTGGTAGTGGGGTTGGGGGCGGGTTTGGTGGCAGAGGGTTTGTGGGCCGCGGCGGCGGCGGAGGTGGAGGAGGATGACTCCCAGCGGGATTTGCGGTGGTGGGAGTGGGCGGCGGCGGAAGAGTGAGGGTTGCCACCTGGCATGTTACGGCGGAAACAGAAGCACGAGCTGAAATCAAGAACGTCTTTGCCTTTTCTGGGTTCTCCTTGAGGTTGGACTTTATAGCAAGAGATATTAAGTTTAATTACATTTTCACCTCTACAGAATTATTATACTCCAGATAAGTCCTTTAATTTTCAATCATCATACAGTTAAAGCTCTATAAATTAATATAGTTGGGACTAGCAAAATTCTATTAATTTAGCGAAATATTAAATTATCGAACTAATAATTTAGTACGTTTTACCGAATAGGAATCGGAAAAAACTATTATTTAAGCGAGGTTACTAATTTATCGAATATTAATTTATGAGGTTCTAGTGTATATCTTAACGCTACTACTATACTTTTAGAATCAATTAATGAATTTGCATTTTTTTTTTTTTATAAATGGGCTTGTAGTTGTAGTCATAGATGTATGCAAAACAAAAGCATTAAATTAAAAACATAAAACCGGATGATTTCGATGTTTCGGTAATTGAGAGAGACCAGCAATTGCAATGATTTGTTAGCATAACAGTGCATTTTAAATTCTAAGAACAACTCATCTGCAAATGATTGTATTATTTTTAATTTCATAGTGAAAAGTACATATATATAATCATATATGTATGCATTACAAACAAATAATCATATGATCATAAACATGAAATAATCATGAAATACATGAAAGCAGCCTTATTCTCCATTCGATTTATTTTTTCAGAAGCCATGGTGGTGGTGGTGGTGCGGAGGGGGAGCATGGTGGTGGTGGTGGTGAGGAGGGGGAGCATGGTGGTGGTGGTGAGGAGGAGGAGCGTGGTGGTGGTGGTGGTGTGGAGGGGGAGCATGGTGGTGGTGGTGGTTTAGGCTGGAGTCATCTTCCAAACCTTGAATAAGAGGTGCAGTTAGAGTAATTATTAAGAAAGAAAATACGACTAAAAGAGAGCACACACGAGACATTTTTTTTTTTTTACTTCAATGTATAGAGAAAAATTGTGTTGGTATAAATAAATTGTACAAGTACATGCTCTTTTTATAGTGGAATTATTTTTAAAAATTACGATTTGACTGGTCAAACGCTACATGATTATGCATTAAATCGAAAATCGAATTGATATTTATTATAAAATTCAAAACATTATCTAATTAATAGTATTAAATTTCAAATATTGAAAACTTTTCCAGGCTTGTAATATTTTTGAATCTAGATTATAAAATTCATATTTTTTTCCTATATTTGTTTCTTAAAATTGGGTAAGAAATTCATTTCATTGCCAGATTATACTAAACTCGTTCAAAGTCAAATCTCCAATATGGGAGCGAACATAAATTTTGACTTTTGTTAAATAAAATATTAATGAAAATTGAGACCAGAAATTTCGAAGAAATAATCTCTTGAATGACAACATAAACCATAAATATATTTTTAAATTATATTTATTAAATAGTAATAGAAGTTATATAAAATAAAATTTTATGTACTATAAATGCATAATACAAAAAAAAAAAAAAAAAAAAAGAAATTCGGGCCCTTTTAAGAACTGGGCCCTGATCGCCCCACCAAAGGAATCGATGGGCCAAAATACAAGGAGGCCCTAATTCTTATTAAATTAGGTAAATTACAAAAATTCCCTGAACTTAGATTAAATTACAAAAATCACCTCTATCTATTCGTAATTATCAAAATCCCCTGACGTCACAGAATCTTTTTGATTTAAAGAAATAGACTTTTACACAATCACATATATTTTGTTTTTATATTTCTCACCTGTTTAACGGGGAATACGATGCTACACCCGGTTAATTTGAGTACCTGGTTATATTCACCAGGTGTAGCATATAATTTCCCCCTGTTTAACAGAAGGTATAATGAACTGTGCGCATTTTCTGTTAAAAAATTCGATCATCAGCTAGCCAGATAGGGCTTTTAGTAATTACGAATAATAAACTAATATTGTTTATATATTGATTGTAAATATGTATTGTTTTAATCTCTAGTTCAATAATAATAATCATTTTATAATTTATATTGTTTAAAAATATGAAATAATCTTTTTCCCAATCAATATTACAAATAACAAATTCATACTATTTAATATTATTTTTTGGAAAAAAATTATTTTCAGTTTTTATATTAATGATTAATTAAAAAAAGGAAAACCACTGCTTCTACGGCTCTGCCCAAAGTCTGTTACTCTTCTAGCGTTTGAGGGTTTATTGAACAATTTAGCAGCATATTCCGGCCGGCGGCGGACGGCGGCGGACGGCGGACGGCGGAATACATAATTACGGTGATTTTTCTTCATAAACAAGCTCCTCTCCTATCCCAGACAAGTACACATCTTGCATTCATTTCTTAATCAGAACAGATTTTGCATTACGTAGTGATTAACGATAGAGTTTTGCGTACTGTTCATTGTTCAACGTTGTTCTGTTAATAAGAGCAGAGTACTGATTTGATAGGAGAAAAATTAGGGTTTTTGTTGGTAGAGCAAAATTGGTTTCTTTACAGCGACAACTCCAATTAGGTTAACCCATTTCAAAATTCGAATTCGAATTCGAGATTACCTAACCCTAAACACCGGCCCGGCCCGGCCCGTACAAAAGCCTTTGCTGCCGCTGCGGCAATAATTCCGATGAATTGCAGTACTGACGAAACGGCTACAGTTTCATCGGAGTGCTGGAAAATCATCCACATTCCGGAGAAAGATCCAGTTCTTCCCCACCTACAGACTACTGGTATATATTTTCATGATTAAAAAAAAAATTCAATTCTAATCTCTGTTTTTGTTTTCCCCCCCTTTTTTTTGTTTTTCTCTGATTTAGTGATTATATTTATGCAGTGGATGTACTTGCTTCCACAGTTGAGCCTAAGCATGCCAACACTATAATGAAGTATTTTCTCGTTTCGAATTTAATTACTTTTTTCTCTAAATACCCGGAAAGAATATTCGTAGGTATCTATTTAACATTTTTTTCCCCGCCAATTTATGTTTGTTAGGAAGTTAAGTCATATAGCACCATTGGAAGATCTCCGCCATGTGAGGCGCATACGGAAGACTTGTCTTGATGAAGGTTGTTTTCCGCTCATTCAAAATATCTTGCCTTTTGCCTTTCTCACTTTCAATTATTTATTCATTTATAATGTGATTGGTTTCTCATAAAGATTAAAATGGGTTGTGTGTGGTTTCAGATAGGAATTTAAATAAAATCGACCGGAAAAGTTATTAGCATTTCCCATTAGTGTGCTTTGCTTATACTGCAAAAAATTACATCCTTGTAAACAAGAAAATATGTCTTGAAAAGATATGGGTTGTGCTTAGATTCATCATGTTCTCTAACGCCCTTTACAAGAAAAAATGCTGCATTCATTTCGACCAGTTATTCTTCTGGGTAGCCTTAGATTATAGATGATTGTAAGTTTGTATTTGACATCAAGGTTATTATCGGACAGGTAAATATCAATTATCTGTGATCTTATGTGTGGCCTTTGGAAACGATGGTGAGCCCAACTGTATGCCAGAGGATTTGGTGGAGCTTGTGAATACGTACCAGTTGAGTACTTTCACTACAAAAGTGGGTCATCTTTATTATTATTATGATTATTATTTTTTTATATTTCAGCTCTTAATTTCTTATCTAATTAAATCAGTATATTTTTGTGCATACCCCTGAAAAAATAATAGTATGTGCAATGTATTTCGATAATTTGATTTTAAGTAATATTTGCAGCTTTTCTTAAATTGTGAATGTTTCCTATATCCTTGATTGGTTTAAACGAACTGAAATTGATTCAGGTATGCAAATATGCTCCATTGACAAAAGAAGAATGGCAAGAACAATGCAAACTGTGGCCAACTTCTTTTCATCCACCCACCTAGTGAGTAATCGAGAGTGTGTCAAATTTATATTTCTTTAATGTAAACTCAGAGTTCGGACTTTTGTTTTGATTACAGCAATATCGATGGCATAACTGGATTTAGTGAAGAGGATTCTTTATCAGTTTTCAACTACATGAAACTTGCAGTTCATATGGCAAAGTCCGGTATCTCGGTAAATACTCACCTAAGTTTGTAATCTCAACATTCTGTTCTTTTTATTTCTATTTTTTAATACTTTCATGCTCTATTTGTTGTCGTTTTTAAGCTATAATTTTTTTCTCGGTAGGTTGTCAATGCTGCTGTTATAGTCGATCCTTTGACTAGACTGGTTATTGCTAGCTCGTGTGACCAGGTCTTGTCTTGCAATGCTCTTTCAGACAGTACTAAAATGGACAAAGATTCAATTTTGCTGTCAAGATGTTCGACCAACGAAGCAAATGAATCTTTTAAAAACGTCTCTTGTCTATACCCTTTGGAGTGGATTGAGCAAAAACCACATTTAAATTATAATAATGGCTATTGGCACCCTTTAAGACATGCTGCCATTGTAGCAATTGAAAAGTCTGCTGCAAGAGATAGACTTCTCTTTCCTATGAATGGACAAGGTGCAGAGTTAGCTCGAGAAGAAGATTATATTGTGTCTTCTCCAACATGGTCGCCCTCAAAAAGGCAAAAGATTGATTCAATTGTAAGTTCCTATTCTTTTTGGGGCATTATTCATTTTGGCCTTAGCTAGACGTGTAAATTGAAACGGAATTTCCAAATTCTGCCAATTTCGATCTGAATATTTCCGATTTTTAATAACCTTTTTCATTCTAAATTCCGAAAGCTTCGATTTTCGATTATTCTGATTTTTTTTTTAACGGAATTGGAATACATATTAAATTCCGATTTTCGATTAAAATTTAATTTCCAAAAATTTCACTTACAGTATCAATATTATTATGTATTTTATCTGAAAATTTCCGGTTCTGGAACAAGATCTTTTATTCCAATTTCCAGAAATTACGATTTACGATTCTTTTTAGGACGGAATTGGAATTAGTTTATCACTTAAAAAAATGGAATTATTCCGAAAGTGCTAATTCCGATCAGATGCGTCCGATTTCTACGCCTAGCCCAAGCAAAGTGAAATCTGGAGCTCTTGGTTTGATCCAACCAATGATTTCTTGAATTTCTAAAACTCGAAAAGTTTTGCAATTTCAATAATGACATCCATTTCAATAGATAGAGCGAGATATGTCAAAGTATTTGATAGATCAAAATCTCGTCATGTAACTTTGTGCTTACAATAAAGAATTTCAGATTTCATTAATGGTATATAGTTTGCTACATTTGATCTCTCAGGTAAAGGATGACGAAGCAAGAATGAACAATCACACGAATGGCTTGCATTGTGACTCGACGAAACCTTATTTATGTACTGGCTACGATATATACTTTGTGTGGGAGCCATGCACTATGTGAGTGACACTCTTGCTCTAATATAAACCTTGACATGGATTTCGTAATTTTAATTTTAATTGATTATTTTTCTTACATTGTAACATGGATTTAGGTGTGCTATGGCGATTGTGCATCAGAGGGTAAAACGGGTATTTTATGCCTTCCCGAACCCGAATGACGGGGCATTGGGAAGTGTTCACAGATTGCAGGGAGAGAGAAGCTTGAATCATCACTATGCTGTTTTTAGGGTTCTACTTCCTCAAGACATCCTTAAAAATTGATCGGTTTATTTTATTAACTCAAACTATTATTTTTGTAGAATTAGTGTTTCGAGGTTTTGTAGAACCTACAAATATTGACTTTATTAAAATTTATTTAAAATATCTTAAATACTTATCGTCACTCAGGCTTTTGTTCTTAGTGCTCGATTGACTATTTTACCCCGAGGCTCTCAAGAAATTTCCCAAGGAGTACTCAAACGAATGACTGGAGAAAAAACTGGTGTTATTGTCTTTCTTAAATTTATTTTTAGTGACGGATTGTTCGTAATTTAGTATGAACAAGAAGAAGCTGCTACTGAATATCGTTTAAAATTTCTAAAGGTAATTAAAAATGGCAGCTTTCCATGCAGCAAGAATGTGCCCACTCGTCGTTTCCAAATCATCTGAAAGATACAATGGTAAGCTCACTTTATATTCCCTCTCTAGAAACTATCACTAACTTGTTAATGTTTATAATTTGTTCTGTACAATTGAGTCTTGTATTTGCATCCACAAGTTGATCAATGCCATCCACCAACTGTTGGACAAATTGCCTCAATGGAATCTATGTTCTTTCTACTGATCTTCTTAACACTCTCCCTTGACAGATTCTTGGGAGTGTTTACTCGTTCCCGTCAAGCTTCTGGAACGACGAATGGTGAAGCGAAACAACGTGGCTGTGGGGTGTGTAATGGTTGGTAAATCATATTTTCGACGGAATTCAGATATGCTCACCCACCTTCGACGATGAAAAAAAAAGAGAGATGATGTAGGAGAGCAATTTGTGGGTAATTTTGTGTTCTCAGAGCTAGAGGGGGGAAAGTGTCTTTGACTTAAAACTCATGGGGGGTTTTGAGAGATGTTTTATATCATAGGGACTCGTTCTGCAGTTAGATATTTTACAGGGGTAATTTTTGCAAATAGAGCTAGAGGTGAGAAAGTGTCTTTGACTTAAAACTCATGGGGAGTTTTGAGAGATATTTTATCACAGGGACTCGTTCTGCAGTTAGATATTTTACAGGGGTACTTTTTGCAAATAGAGCTAGAGGGGGAAATGTGTCTTTGACTTAAAACTCATGGGGGTTTTTGAGAGATATTTTATCACAGGGACTCGTTCTGCAGTTAGATATTTTACATGGGTACTTTTTGCAAATAAACTGAAAATATTTGTATAACGTAAAGAAATACACACTACACCGGCAACCCACTGAAAATAAAAATACACACTATACTGAAAACACACACTGAAAAAAAACACACTATATCGAAAATACTCACTAAAAAAAACAAACACTACACAGGAAAAACACGGGATAATTACACTTTTGGTCCCTCATGTTTGGCCCGATTTCACTTTTGGTCCCCTTGTTTCAAATTGAAATTTTAAATTTTTTTGGGGCTGAAAAATAATTACAAATTAAAAATAGACTACTTATACATTTTAATAATTAAACAAAATTAACCAAACAAATTATTTTTTTATTATACTTAATATTATTATAATTATACTATTTATAATTAAATTTTTAATAATAAAAAAAATTAACTAAATAAATTATTTTTAATCATACTTAATATTATTTTTAATTATACTACTTATGATAAAAAAAATTAATAACAAAAAAATTAACTAACTTAACAAATTATTTTTTGTTATACTTAATATTATTATAATTATACTACTTATAATTAAATTTTTAATGATAATTTTTTTTTGCCAAAAATATTTTATTTTTCCACTATGATAAAACTTTTTGGGGCCTCGTTGGTAGTAAAAAATCCGAAGCGACCCTATCGATTCTTTTGTTTCTAATAATAAAATAGAAATTAATTAAATAAATGATGGTAAATTATACTTAATATAGTTTTAATTATACTACTTATGATTATTTTTTTAATAATAAAAAAAAATTAACTAGCAAAATTTCATTATACTTAATATTATTAAAAAATTAATTATAAGTAGTCTGTTTTCAATTTATAATTATTTTTCAGCTCCAAAAAAATTTAAAATTTCAATTTTCACCCCAAAATAGTGTTTTCCGTTACTTGCTAACGGACATGTAACGGCAGGGACCAAAAGTGTTTAAATTTGAAACTTGGAGGTGAACTTTGTTCACTTTGGAACAAGGGGGACCAAAAGTGAAATCGGGCCAAACATAAGGGACCAAAAATGTAATTATCCCGGAAAAACACACTAAAAATAAAAATACACACTACACTCAAAATACACACTGAAAATATAAACACACACTACACCGAAAAAAAAACTGAAAATAAACACACACACTACACCAAAAATACACACTAAACAAACACACACTATACCGAAAACACACACTAAAAATAAAAACACACACTACACAAAAAACGCACTACACCAAAAGCACACACTGAAAATAAAAACACGCTACACCAAAACACACTGAAAATTAAAACACACACTACATCGAAAACACACACTGCATTGAAAACATACACTACACCAAAAAAAACACACCAAAATAAAATACACACTACACCGAAATCACACACTAAAAATAAAGACACATAATACACCGAAAACACACCTTAAAAAAACCCACTACACCGAAAAAATACCCTAAAAAAACCCAAACTGAAAATAAA